AGGAGGTCAGCTGACTGAAAGGGGCAGGGCCTGGCTCCTATATAAAGCACAGGCAGGAGGCCAGAGGCAGTTCCCTGCCAGCAACCAGAGAGGCAGGAGCTCCCTAAGCCAGGATGCAGGAAGAAGCCTGACCGCAGGTACAGCTTATGGCAGCTCTAAGATACTTGAGCAATGTTGTTACAGTCAGGCGGCTTATGTTTAGGTTATAGCTAAGAGGCTCGAGTTTCTGTTTCATTTTGTTGTTACACCGGTGGTTTGGGTGAGGCTATCAGGGGTTGGAGGAGGCCTCATAGGGAACCCACAGTAGCGTGGGGACCCCAGCGCCAGTAAGGGCGCAGCATACGGGGTACATAGATCCCAGCCCCAGAGAGGAGCATTTGAGAAGCCCCAGTGCAGGCATGGCAAGGCCCAGAGAGGGGGCACTATTGAGAAGCCCTAGGGTGAGCATGGCAAGCCCCAGAGAAGGGGGCAACACTTGAGAAGGCCCAAAGAGGGGGACAACATTACAGAGAAGGCCCCAGAGAGGGTCAGCTTTACTGAGGAGTCTTAGAGAGGGGGACAGCCTTACCGAGGAGCCCAGTGTGGGCACGGGGAGCCCCGAAGAGGGGGCAGCATTGCTGAAAGTCCCAGAGAAGGCGCAGTGACTGAGAAGTCCCAGTGTGGATGCGGAGGCCCCAGAGAGGGGGCAGATCACTGGAAGGAAGGCCCGGAGAGGATAAAGAGGGGCCCGATTGTGATAAGGCTGGGACAATGGCTATTCCATCGGTGAGGTGTGGCCTGCGGTGTAGAGGAGGAAACAGAGCTGCAGATAGCGCCCCCTGGCAGCAGGGCAGTACAAGGGCAGCCTCCCGCTAATTAACATCAATTAATTAATTAACAGCAAGGCATGGCAGGCGAGAAGGCGGGCGGTTGCCCCAGGAGCAAGTGTGCAGGCCACATTTTAGCCCGGCCCCGAGCGGCTACCTGTTACAGTTTCATATTGCTGATGGACATTATTCTTAGCAAGAAAAAAAGACAGGATGTCCCATCCATGCCGAGCGCAGCTAACCGTGGATCTGAGATGAACAATGTCTCCTGACAGAAGGGAACTTGGGGAGGAATGAATCTAGCCTTTTCACTTTGCACACCAAAAGTATGTTTGATGAAAACAAACTAACAAGAGATCGTAACCAAATACAAGGGCCAAAGCTTTGCCAATTAAAAAAAAATTAAGAGCAAAATGATAATCACCGTGGTCAAAATCCTCCTTCCTTTCTATAGCAAGATATTTGCTTGCTGGGGTGAGCACACTAACTTCAGTGACTAGCCTCCGAGGAGATTCCCACATGTCTTAAAGAAAAATGCTTACCATTTAAAATATTCCCACTACTTTGGGAGTTTTCAAGAGATCTACAGTAAGCTGCTAGGGGGCAGGGGTTGTTTAAAATTAAAAACTGAATTGACAATGCAGCACATTGTATGTTTAGGGAAGTGCACAGCTGAACATTAACTTAATGACATTCTGCACCGATAGATTACCCGGAGTGGACTTATCTGCACTTAGCAGACACTATTTACTTATAATCTGTATTATTAAATTGTTTATAAACTAAGCACTCTAAGTAGTCAGTACAGTGGCTGCCATTTATAAGTGGCTTTAAGTAGCTAGTTTAGCTTTATGTATCCCTCTCCAGGGCATACTGTACAAGTCTATAGCCCCATATCCCACTCTTTCTGACTTTTCTGCCTACAGAGATAGTCCTCAAAAGCCACTTGCATGATGCTGGGCATATTTCACAGCAATATACATGCCCACTGAAAGGGATGGGAGGCATTATGCCATCTTTTCACTGTTTTTAATTAAAATTATTGTAGTATATGGAAAAGCCGAGGTCAATGGGCAAATAGCTATCATTTCTTATAGACAATGCTGGATTCTGAACTGAATTCCAGCAGGTAGAATGGAAGAATCTGCAATGACTCAGGAACATGTTGCCAAATGACAGGATAAAAAAAGTTTTAAGCCCTTCTGGCTTGCTATTCCACCCCATGCATTTTATGTGCTCTACTTGTCTAACAGCAGGCAAAATTACAGTCCCCAGGGTCTCGGAGCCTACTGATCAAGTCTCTCACCAGCTGTGTTGTCACCAATCTCTTTCATTCGGTCCTGAATGCCTACGGAGTCAGGCTTTTAACAGCCTCAGTAAAATGTATTCAACCGTATACACTTTATTGAGATCCTCATTGGCAGATCCCATTAGGCGGCATACTGCTAATAGGTTGGCAGATCAGTGTCAAGCCGATATTCCTCAAGGGATTGAACTGACAGAGCAAGCGTTTAGGACGATAAATTTGCCAAAAAGCTGGGGAGCAATAGACCACAGGGGCAAACATACTATATTTCGGGGCCGGAAACTCTACTCTTATCACTGCTGGTAATGAATAGCAATGCAATCTACATGGAATCTCAAAATGCACTTTAACAGTACTATTACCAGTGGCTTATTAAAGATGATCTGCACAGGGAAAGTGAAAGTGAGCTAACCACAGGGATATGCGCTACATAAACTCTGCGAACTGCCCTGGAGGGAGTATTCGGCAAACAGAGTGAAATCTGTCTCAAGCGACAACTCAAAGAGCTGACAAGCATCGCTTCTTAATGCAGGTGGTCCCCTAATAAAGCTATAGCAGGTTTGCTCTCTATGTAGTTGAGGGTGCTTTGGAGAAATCAAACAAGACAGGTAGCTGTCTGAGACGGCTGGTCTTTTGTGCAGCGATCATTGTCGATGCACATAAAATTTGCCTTATGTTGCATTCAGAAGCTTGTCTAGGTCTAGCCAAACCATGCAGTTGGTCCAGTAAAAGATATCACCCATAAAAGATTTTCTTGCTTCATAAAGATATTCTCAGTAATGCCCATAATGTGCAAGTTTCCCACAGTGTTAGGCCATCATGTAGGTTATAAAAGCTCAGTTATTGCTTGAGTCTCTTGAGTAAAGCACCTGTCTAAAACTAAGAAAACCTGAGTTTTCCCCACGTAACTCTGGCAATTCCCTCAGCCATTCTGTGCTTCGGTTTCCCTGTGTGAAAAATGGAGGTGGGAGAAATAGCCCTTCCCTATCTCACAGGTGTCTTGTAGACTACTGAAACAGTAGAAGCCTAGAAAGATGAAGTGACTTGCCCAAACCCACATGGAGTGCCTGTGGCAGAGGTAGTGCACCCGGTCTTGCAGGGGTGACACTAGTGCCTGAATCACGAGACCATTCTTTCTGGGGCATCAGTAGCGAGTGCTGCACGATTAAAGGTAAAATCTGCTGCTATGCTGTCGAGGGTGAGCACAACTTTTGTGCACCACTTAACCCGCACTTAATCTCTATTTTAAGGATTTAACAAGGCCTCAATGCTGGCTCTCTGCACAGAGGCGCTTTCACCCCCAATATCTTGGCAGGCTCAATTAAGAACTTAATGAAAGGTGCATTCATATTTATTTCCATGCTGACTTTCCCACAAGGTTTGGCCATTGAGGGTATTCAGCACATCCTTCTATGCTTAGTGCGTAGCTCACTTTTTATGTGCCATCCCTTATGGAAAAGCTCCATACAATTTAATCTGGGATGAACCACCTGGGGATCTATAAAAAAGTAAATAGGTTGCAGCAGAAATTGTTCTAAGACATACAGCATTTAATAGAGAATGACCTACCTCACATGTAGGTTTTAGCTCAATCTCTAGGATTTCCCAGACAATTATGTCCCTGTGTAACAGGGAACCCTGGCCCTGTTACTAGAAAGTGGGGCAGCCCCTTTAAGGACAGAGTCTTCAGGGCACAGCCTGCCACCAGAGCAGGGGTTAAAGTCTGGCCCATGGGCTGGCAGTGGACACCATTTCCCTGCAGCCCCTGCTCGCATGGCTGGGGCTGGTCTCCAGGGAGCCCCCAGCCACACCTGCGCTGTGATAGCGCAAGGCTGGGGTTGCCATGAAGACTGACGCCAGCTGTGCTGGCAGGGCGTGCAGCAGACCAGGGCAGGGAGCTGCTCTGGAGCTGCTGCAATCTTGTGGCGGGGGCAGCCTGGTCCAAGGCCAGGGCAGAGCTGTGATCTGCAGCCTGCATGCTACGGGCAGGGGCATGCAGGCAGTGGGTTGTGGCTCTACCCCAGCTCCTTGCAGCAGTGACAGTCTGGTCTGAAGGCAGGGAAGAGCTGCAATCTGCTGCCTGCACACCCCTGTCCAGAGCATGCAGGCTGCAGATTGTGTCTGCCCTAGCCCCAGACCAAGCTGCCCCCACCACAAAATCCCAACGGCTCCAGAGCACCCCCCTGCCCTGCCCTGCTGTGCGCCCTGCTAGCGCAGCTGGGGCCCGGCTCCATGGGAACCCCAGCCCTGCGCCATCACAG